AATTCTAGTCGACCAATGATCCCTTTCCTAAAACGTTTGCAAACTCTCAAGAAAAGGCTGCTTCAATTTTTTAAAATCGATTCATCTGTCGATGAATTTTCTAGAATAGTTTAGGGGATTTCCCTTGGCGCAGTGGCATTCCCTTACCTAAGGGTTATTTATATCAACTTTATCATAAGGGGTCGTATTTTAAATTTAAGGAACAAATCAAAAACAGTTTCTTAAATTCTAGTCGACCAATGATCCCTTTCCTAAAACGTTTGCAAACTCTCAAGAAAAGGCTGCTTCAATTTTTTAAAATCGATTCGCCTGTCGATGAATTTTCTAGAATAGTTTAGGGTATTTCCCTTGGCGTAGGGGAATTCCCTTACCTTAGGGTATATATGAGTCCTATACAGGTAAAAGAACTTCGTTGAAAAAGACAGTTGAGCTGAGTTAATAGTTATTAAATATTTCTCTTAGGCTGCGAATATGGAAGTTTGGAAAAGCCAAGAGCTTTTAGATGCACTTAGATCCTATTTTGCCAGACTGAAAGTCCCCGACATGGCTGCAGCGAAAAACGATGTATTACCAGTGGTTAACAAAATTGTTGATTTTATAAAGATTAAAGATCGTAGGTTTGATATGACGGTGGAAACAAGAGGCAGCGTATATGAAAAATTAAAGATAGACGAAGCGGATGAATTCGACTTTGATTTGAAGCTCAACACGTTGAAAATGGAGAAAATTGAATTAGTTTACGCGGATGGTAAGTGTTGGGAATCCGCCATTTTCAATCTAGCGCATGTGTTTTACAGTTAGTTCCTTGATCTCATCGGGTTCTTTGTTAGTCATGTAAGAATTTTCTTCTTGTTGTTTTAATGTAGCATTGCGTCAAATCCTCGCTTTAAGCTGAATCCGTCCGAGGTTATAGGAAATAGTTATACCACGCCCGCTGATTAAGTTATCAGTCTTTACCAGAATAAACTCCTGACTAAGATATAAGCAAGTTGATTGTTAGTTAAAATTAAAAGTTCATGACTCAAAAATAATTAGCAACGCAAGTAAACGTACATATTCCGCAAATTTATTAGAAAAACCAATGGTCGACGCAGTAGTCGTCGTAGAGACGTAGTCGTTGAAGATATTTGGAAAAAGTTGGAGATGCAAAGCAAAGTGATGTTTTTTCTTTGGATTCATCTCTATCCCGAAACTAGCGAGATTGGAGGTTTCCTCAACAGTAAGAAATCTAATCATCATATGTTCAAAAAGTATACGAGAAAAGCCGAACACTGGGCGAAGCAGATGCTATTATTTTATAGGGGCCTAGTATAAATTTACCGTACGATTTTGCTACACGCTTTTTTTAAGAAAGATTTTAAGAAAGTTCAGGGCTGGCTCTTTGAAGCCCAAAGAAATTGAAAATGTTAGATATGCAAAATTCCGAAGGAAATTGCCGTGCGGGAGTGAATTTAAGTTAATTCAGTTCTATTTGCTGGATTTTCTGGGATCGTTGATGCTATGACGAGTTTTTTGAAGAAATATAACACATTTATAGCATTTCATCTTGTCAATAACTCAGTCTTATATATTAGGTTTAACAGCTAAATTGGCTTCATTTTTTATTACTTTTATGGGCATGTAGATAAACATATGAATATGCATAAATCTGAACATTACTCTATAATACTATCTTTATTAATTTAGGCACCAAGTGTGTACGGTAAAAGCCCGCATATAAGAAACTCATTTTTTCAGATCAGGCTGACGAGTTTCTTATAAAAGGAATAAATTTTGAAAAACAAGATGATGAAGTTTCTTTTGAAAATTAGTTTTTTATAAGATGATGATGATAGCTGCAACCCTTCACAAAATATATTGACACCAGTACACTGGAACTGATGATCACCTCATAAAGCCAGGGTTTGATAATTACACATTTGACAGAAACTAATGAGCAGTGTTTGTTAATCTTAAATTTGATAAGTTGAAAGCTTGTTTCTTCCTAGAAGACTGCTTTCTACATTTATTTTTCACACAGGCTTTTATTCTAAAATTAGTACTTATCAGAAACTGAAAAAGATTCCGGCTGACCAAATTCTTATAGTTTGGTACAGTTCTTCGAAAAAGTCAGCCTGCAGTTTCTTATAAGTGAGCTTCTTATATGCAGGTTTTTTCTGTATTGTATTTTATTTACAATGACCTCTTGAAAATATTTCGGTCTAAAACGAATGAACGGCTTTTCGTTTTTGCAGTTTTAAATATTACAAACATTTAATCTCCCTCTATTCTCAGTTACCATGTTTCATGGAAACATCCGAAACTTGTCCTGACTACAGTCCCAGTGGTTCCCATTCGCTCTTTTCCCCAATCAATTTGTCCCAGTCCTCAAAGATCTCTTCTTCCAATACAGAATATACAGTGTGCAAGCCTAACTTTTGGCTTGACTTCATTGATGAAAAAGGGCTACTTTTGACGCAGAAACTGACAGAAAGATTTAGTTCATATGTTGGCGAAGCCTGTCGGGAGATAAATTCCAAATTCAGGTAAGTGCAAGAAACTCTTTAATTGCCCCACTCCTCCTATGCATATGCCCCTTCGAAAAACCCTACGACTTTGATAAGTGTCCCCCTCTTTATGTTAGACCCTTGATTAAGTAGTCTCGAAGGGGTTTTATTCGAAAATTTACGGTACTGTGCAGAAGGCTGAATTTTCCACAATCGTTTTGTTCTTCATATCTAGACTCATATTGTTTTTTCATCTACCATTTTACATAGTGCTATTTGTGCCAGTCTCATCAAATTGCAGATGATGATTCTATGGCGTTATGATCAATACATATAACAAAATCTTAAGGTTTATATACTATATCGTTTTGGGTGAATGAATGAATGAATTAAGCAATGAATGAATGTATTAGTAAATGAATGAATGAATTAATGAATCAATGAATCAATCAATTAATGAATCATTGAATGAAAGATGAACGAGTAAATGATTGAGGCAATAAATGAATTAATGAAGAGATGAATGAATGAATGAACAGATTGAAAGAATGATAAATGAATGAATCAATCAAAGAATTAATAAATCAATGAGTCAATGATTATTGAAGCTTTTGATACTTGGCTACTAGTTGATTCATATACATTTATCTTTCGATAGCTTAAGATCAAAATTAAACCACCCAGCCGTGACTGTGTTTATGAGTGATGGAGAAACAAAATACAATGTTGACTTGGCACTTGTCATTGAAGTTGAAAAATGGCCGGAAAATCTAACTTTGGGATGGGAGCATCGAAAAACAAACGGTAATTATGCAGTAGCAGATCCAAGAAGACCAGGGGGCACGAAAGCCATGCCAACTTATTTATCATCACAGACGCCTATGATCTTTTTAACGTTAAAGCTCGGGGGGGGGTGTTAAAACTAATATTTACCCTAAATATATTTAATATAGAATCTAGATGACAAATGTTCCATCAATCCAAGTGTTAATTCTAGGTCTAGGCAATAAGCTACTTGTATTTAAAGTGCTTGACCACACAACTAAAGTCTAAGAGAATTACTATGTAGACTCAAGCCCTCGCGAAGAAGGCTGTTTCCATAATCATTGCTCTTCCCTAAACTCATTCTTGGATCCGTTACTGAGCTAAAATACATTGTGACTGGCAGCTTTCTTCTAATTGTTGGGAGCTTCAACTTTTTGATGAAAAGATTCTTTTGTCATTTGAAAGCTTCAGTCCTTCCTAGTTAAGCCTTGAAGGGACATAGAGATTTTTTTCTGGCAGTGATTTGGAGAGCGTAGAATTTTAATGCGTGGAATTTTGCTGGGTAGCCAATTTTAGAGGACCTTGGTAAGTCAAAAATTTGCGGAAAGGAGGCTAAAGCGCAAAAATTTCTTCTGATAAAAGTTTACCAGATCATCTCAGTAGAGTCTTAGTCTCTAACCAAAAGTAACATTAATGTTATGATTTTTAAGTCCTTAAACTCTACATTTCTCTCGACAGTTCTTCTTGCATGGTTAGAGGCAAAGTACAAGCGCTCGAGATACTGCCATAGAGAACGATATAGAACTTTCTTGTTTTTGTCTATGATTCATTTCTTTGTTCATTACGGACATGTTTAGATGAGAAGAGGCTAAAACTAGCCGGAAGCGAGAGTGACGATGTCTTGTTCGACTTCTTTCTGCAAAATGGCGCCCCGGGACGATTATTAGAGATTTAATTGTATTCTTGTTAGTGATTAGGTATCTTGATAAAACAAACAATAAATGATTTCATATTCTATGCAGGATTTCCATCAGTTACGTGCATTGAAAAGATAAAAAGTGGACCAATCTGCCTCGTTGCCAAAGTCCCTCCAGACATTAAGGCTCAAAATCCCAGTGTCTCAGACAACTTGTGGCGCATGGCTTTTAACCATGCCGAAAAGCAGATTGCCCTAGACCCAAACGAGGGTGTCCCAGACTCGTGCAGAAGACCAGTTCTACGCATCTTGAAAGGCTTCAGAGAACACTTGAATTGGCCGTTTTTGAGATCGTACCATATAAAGACAGTACTTCTTCATGAATTCGAGTCTCACCCACCTGACAAGTGGCAACCAGATAGACTTGGAGAAAGAGTGTTCACAGCAGTAAAACGTTTGAAAGATTTTGTTGTAAACAAAAAATGCCCTCATTATTTTCTGCCGCAAGTCAACCTCTTTAAGACCATGTCTAATTCGGATGCATTGCTGCAAAAAATCGATCGCTTTCTGGGAGATCCCCTCGCGATGGTTCGTGCACTGAATAACGAAGGAACAGCCCCTCCAACAAACGGTAAGTGGATTTAATTTTTTTGCTTAGGGGACTGGGGGCCACAAGCGCTTTTCGGTGAATGAAATTGCATTGAAAAAAAGTTGAAATTAATTGAATTGAACAGGCAGTTTATCTCAGAAGCAGTAGTATCACAGGTAATATTCGGGCAAGATTCACAAAAGACACCCCCCCCCCATAAAGTAAAGGATCAACTACGCCTTTGTCGGGGGCGTCGGCCAAGTGGCCAAGTGGAATTAAATTGAACAGGCAGTTTATCTCAGAAGCAGTAGGATCACAGGTAATATTCGGGAAAGATTCACAAAAGCCCCCCCCCTCCTTTAAAGTAAAGGATCAACTACACCTTTGTCGGGGGCGTCGGCCAAGTGGCCAAGTGGAATTAAATTGAACAGGCAGTTTATCTCAGAAGCAGTAGAATCACAGGTAATATTCGGGAAAGATTCACAAAAGCCCCCCCGTCATTTAAGTAAAGGATCAACTACGCCTTTGTCGGGGGCGATTTGGCAAGTGGCAAGTGGAATTAATTGAAACAGCGTTTATCTCAGAAGCAGTAGGATCACAGGTAAAATTCGGGAAAGATTCACAAAAGCCCCCCCCCCCCATAAAGTAAAAGTAAAGGATCAACTACGCCTTTGTCGGGGGCGTTGGCCAAGTGGCCAAGTGGAATTAAATTGAACAGGCAGTTTATCTCAGAAGCAGTAGGATTACAGGTAATATTCGGGAAAGATTCACAAAAGCCCCCCCCCCCATAAAGTAAAGGATCAACTACGCCTTTGTCGGGGGCGTTGGCCAAGTGGCCAAGTGGAATTGAATTGAACAGGCAGTTTATCTCAGAAGCAGTAGGATCACAGGTAAAATTCGGGAAAGATTCACAAAAGCCCCCCCCCCCCTCCTTTAAAGTAAAGGATCAACTACACCTTTGTCGGGGGCGTCGGCCAAGTGGCCAAGTGGAATTAAATTGAACAGGCAGTTTATCTCAGAAGCAGTAGGATCACAGGTAATATTCGGGAAAGATTCACAAAAGCCCCCCCTCCTTTAAAGTAAAGGATCAATTACGCCTATGTCGGGGGCGTCGGCCAAGTGGCCAAGTGGAATTAAATTGAACAGGCAGTTTATCTCAGAAGCAGTAGAATCACAGGTAATATTCGGGAAAGATTCACAAAAGCCCCCCCGTCATTTAAGTAAAGGATCAACTACGCCTTTGTCGGGGGGGGGGGGGGTTCGGCCAAGTGGCCACATTCCGTTCACAGTGTAAATCAGTTGATTTCTAAAACAATTTAATCCATGAAGAATCATTGACTAATTACGAGGTGAAATGCTTTTTCATAAAAAGGGAGAATGAGACTGTAACGAACAACTGTCAGCATGATCTGAAATGAAAAGCAAGTTTTTGAACCTCTGATGAATAAAGCTCCAAACCCTTCCTATTTGGGTAAGGCCTGGGTAACTAACTGCCTGCCAAATTTAGTCTGAGGCGAGTATTAAAGCACAACAACAGCAGCAATCACATCCATTGTGAATATTGTAAAACCACTGATGAACTAATCAATTAATTAAAAACTTGATCCTATGTATGAAAATTTTCCAAACGAACAACAACAAAAGAGATTGGAGCGACAACTGGGAGAAAGGAAAAGTTTATCACATTGGATTCTTAATTACCTCGCGTTACTGAAAATTAGGCCAAGAGGAACAGAACATTATCAGGGCCCGCGCCACCGGGGGGCCGGGGTGGCCATGCCCCTCTTCTTTTTGCGAAGCAAGCAGTTTTAAAGCTGCAATAAAAGGGGTAGAAAGCCTTGACCCACTACAATTTTGGCCTTGATCCCCCCCCCCTCACTTTCAAATTCGTGGCGCAGGCCCTGAGTATAAGTGTTAATAAGTACCTACCAATATTTACCGCAATCCTTCAATCCTAACATATATGTTAAAAGTACAATTCCTAGGCTCTAATATCTATCTCAACTTGATTGTAGAAAGCTCAATTTCCTTCTCAGACATGCATATACATGCTGCATAATATTAGAGATGAAGTAGTACTATGCCCCTAGACGGCTACTTTGTACCTGATAGTTGCTGTAGAATGATTACCTATGATGTAACATTCTATCGACTCGTATACGAATTTTAGGGCTGGCCATATAGCCCTGGCTGACTTTTTCCAAAAACTGAACAAAGCAACACTTTATGCATTCACTTGTACTGGAGGCTTATTCCTTTGTCAAAGCTTCAAAAGTAACAGTGTCCCTCAAAGAGACCACCAAAGCGATTGCAAAAGAGACGGAATTAGGAGAAATTTCCTTTATGAAACCTATCAATTTCATTTCACTTAAAGGCTATAGATACCCCTTTCTACTGTCTTCCTTATGAGGGAAATTTTATTGTAGATTTACAAATTTATTTGCGTCTCCCTAACGGAAAGACTACAACTTTGTCAACAAAGAAAAACGAGGATATTCAAGCTCTGAAGCGGAAAGCGTCAACGATATCAGGTAATATATAATTTGAGCTCTAATAAAACGTTCTTGGGATTGTCATTACCATTCAACTGTAGGAACTTAAGTGGCTAAAACGTCCCGTTTCTCTTGCCTTGCAAACAAGTATTTCCAGTTTGAGCTTGAGTCGCTAAGTACCCACGAATCAATGCAATGGACAACCAGATTTCCTTGCACAAGTGGGGTGGGGGGGGGTGCAGTTAGTCCATTGATAACAGCAGCAGGGTAGAGGGGTAGGGGGGCTGGAAGGAGTCATTATTTCTAGGCTTCTTTGGGGGAAAGGGATTAAAATGTGTTTTATCGATTTCTTGTCGGTTAATCTTGTTTTTCATGATTCATGACCTGAGTGAGAACTGTTCCTTTCATTACGTTTATGGTCTCAACTGAGATGTGATTGCTAGCCCAGGAAGCAAAGGAGAAATGTTTTAGGCGTTGTAAAAAAACTGTATTTTGCGAAATTTTGCAAATTACAAATTTTTTAAAACGCAGTTTAAAGCGAGGATTTTGCTGTAATTGTGTTCCCTTTTGATCGTAAAGTCGTTTTCTATTCTTTTCCGAACTGATATGACCTTTATCACATGAAAATTTGGTCGATTTCCTAAGGGCCGAGAGTCAAACCTAAAATCTCTAAAGCAGGACTAAACAGCAACAGGGCATACATTGTTAATGGCAATGGCGACTTGTTCCGTCATTTTGTAGACACATCATACCCTACCGACGTGATTTATGTTGATACGGCCCCATTTGAGTAGTTGTAAAAAAACTGTATTTTGCGAAATTTTGCAAATTACTAATTTTTAAAACGCAGTTTAAAGCGAGGATTTTGCTATATTTGATTCTCCGGTGGATCATGGTAATGTTTTGGATCCTAATTCTAACTTAAATAAGCATACAATATGACTTAAGCTGTTTTCCACTGCAAAAATTTATTTTGGACAGACCTCTCGTAAATACTTTGTTGATAATTTTGGAACGATTGAAAGGTTGCATTCGCAAATGACAGCCTTATTGTTCTTTACACTTTGTCTCCTCTGTTGCAGTCACAGCGGCATTGACGTTGTGTCTCGCTAACCAGATACTATGTACTAAACCCCCGTCTTCTTTGGGACGGGCTCGGAAAGCATGGCTTCTACCGCTGGAGACTGAGAAGAAACATGTCGCTTTAATGCAATAAATATGCGTTCTTATGATGGTAGACAAGGAATGTAAGGTTTATATATCACTTTTGATTGGTTTGTGCTTCGATTTCAGGTATAAAAGGTGGATTTCATGTAACGAAATTTCGTACGAAATTTCGGCGAAATTTCGCAAATTACAATAAGCCCGCACGTGCAAATAAATGTTCTTTTGGTACTGATATTTTTCATTAAAGGGTTGGCTGAGTCGCAGTTTTATCTGAGCTTTAATTCAAGGTCTTTGGAAAGAGGAACAATTGCTTCAAATGGAATTAAACATGGTAATTGCCTTTAAACTCTTTCATTTCTTATTAGACCAGTATGGATGACGTCATAAGGTGCAATATTAGCTGAATCGGTTGCAGATTTGACAAGATGATGAGTAAAGACCGATATTTTGATAATTTAAAGCCATGGTTTTAATCTGATAAAAAAGTTGTTTAAGAACCAGGGCCAAATTTCAGTGAATTAATTGAGAAAGATCTGCAACAGATCTAGTTGATTTTGCCCATCTGGAGGTATTTCATGATGTTCATTTAGGTCATGTGTGCAAGATTCAAGAGTTCCTTTAATAGGATTTGGTGATGTCGTTACTTTGTATTATTTTTCCTTGAGTAACATTGTCATGTCGTTTAGTCTTTTGGATCTTGTCACTGTAGAAAACCAGTCATTTTGTAAACTTTAACAAATAAAAACTAAAGGGTTATGAATGAATAAACAGATAATAGTTGCATTCTATAGTTGACTTTTCATTGAGCGTAAGGATAAAGCTAATCTTTGCTAATCGTTGTTAAATATTTCAAATTAAAGTGATCTCTGACTCTTGTTGCCTATGGTCATTACAGTCCACAGTTAGATTAGCTTATCCCGGTGCACTATTTATGACCCTTGTCACCAAAGACTTAGGAGCAAGCAGTTTTTCTACAATGTTACCTCTCGAACATCAAAATAATAAACATTCAACCCATTTGAGTATGTCGGTCGTTTTACCAGCTAAACTCTTAAAATCGACGTGCCTAAAGTTTTCATGAAGGACTGTACCCTTCTTAACTCCTCCAGTGTTTGCTCTATTCGCAATCAACTGTACCATGTCTTGTGCACTCATTTATGTACTTATTCGTTGCAGGTAGCGAGATTGTAATAATGACGAGACTTAGAGGCGGGACATAAATTCGAAATTGCCAGTTGAACTGAAGAAGAACCGATGACAGTCTCTGTAAAATGCTTATGTGTCTTAGATTTAGTAATCTTATCTTGTAGTTGATTGTAACGGATCCAGGGACCGCTGAAGCTTGCGGCTACGGGAGCTTTAGCCCCCCCTCCACCCGCAAAAATACTTAAAACCATACTCTTTTATTCTTGCATGTTTAGCCCCCCTCTAAAACTTGTATGCCCCTTCAGTCTGCAATAGGATCCGCAGTCCTTCATACTTTCTAGGCTTCTAGATTTGAGAACAATTTCTTGCTCATTTCTTACTTTTTAACAAATTTCCCTATTTGTTACTCTAATAGTACTAATGAAATTCATTTTGCCCAATCACTTTGTTGCCCAATCACATTTTGCCCAATCACTAATCAAATTCAAAAGCCCAATCACTTTGTTGCGATATGAGTGTCCCTTTTGCTATACAAATCCTAAGAGTCATGTACTCTTTTTGAGCATTTATTTGATTGAGGGTTTTCTGTTGTTTTTTTGATCCTATAAAAGAGAGTGTAAACGACGCTTTTTTATTTCGTCTCTCTGCTTCGATCGTGATCCAGTTGCGGTTTTAAAGGGGGGGGGGGGGGGCAGGGGGTCAATTTGTGTTGTCTTTGCTTTGAGCCTTCAGAAAATGCTATAACACACAATTTGGAAAACTGTAAATTGATCTTGGAGTCTTTGACAGAAGAGGCTATGCCGATGCTTTATTCCGAAGCCTTTGAATGCATAGACCATGAAGTGATAGCGAAGTTGCTTGCCTATGGCTCTAGTTAAAAAGCCCTACTAAGGATTAATAGCCATTGTCACATATAAGGCAACGAGCGAGTGAGAATACGATATTTGCGAATAGCTAAATGGGGCATAAAAACCAAACCAATACAGCGGTGGACTATAAGAAAGCCTACGTCATAGTTCCCCGCAGCTGGATGATATTTTATAACTTTATAAAAAGATCGATGACCAACTGGAAAGTACAACTGACATGGAAACTCTAGGGCTTGTAAACATACGCAGAGCAATCTTCCAAGGAGACAGCTTATCTCGTCTGTTGTTCGTCATCTACCCTGGGTGCCAGGCTCTGAGGCTCTGGCACCCAGGGTTGTGCATCAACGACTTAAAGTTGTTCGCAAAAAAAATGAGAATGAAATTGAGAGATTAAAATCTACTGTCAACTTTATTAGCCACGATATAGATAGGTATGGAACTTTGGATAAAAATGTGGGGCGTTGTGGCCTCGAATTGAAATGGGAAGACTTAGAACAGGAAGTGAACTTATCAATGGTGAACAGAGTCCAGAAAAGTTGTTAACCTTCTTTCAGACAAAAACATCCCAGAAGACAAACCTCCCTTGCAAAAAATAGGAAGTGGTCGTGGCTTGGGTGTGTCATTGGAGCTTCTATTGTTTTTCGTGGACTTTCCCTCACCTTCCTCCGGTCAGTGACCGTGCAATCGAAATGCTTTCCTGACTCTGATAAGAGGTAAGAGGCTGAAAAGACCAAGGTTGTAGGTGGAGATGGGTGTCTGTATCTGGGAATAAAGGAAGAGGACATGAAGAAAATATTCCATAGAGATTGATTCTAGGTTGATGAGAATGAATATAAAAGTGAATGATTTGCAGTCTCCATGCAATCGAAACTCAACCCCAGAAGTCTACCTAATGCGCTATGGGTCAGGAACAGGGAAGCCTACACTCAAAATGGGCACCGTGGCAAAGCGCCAAGAGCAAAACAATTGTAAAACAAAGAAAAATGTTCAACCTCGCAAGGGCAAGGGAAGCAATTGCCCCTACTGCCCCCGCTGCCCCCTAGCACAGGCGTCCTTGGGCAGGAATTATAAAATGGAGAAAACATGAGCTAGAAATGCTTTGACAGAACAACCAAGAAACTAATGTTAATGAATAAAGAACTTCAGTCTAGCTAAGGAAAAGGTTGTAGGGGGTTGTAGGGAGCTGTGAGAATTGTGTCGAAAATGAGACAAACAACCTGGCTTTGTATATTAAGTCAATTTTATGTGAAAAGTAGGAGATCTTGGGACAAAGAATACTGCTGAGGCAGTAGCAGTAACACCAAATGAATGCAAAAATTAGGCAAAAAGTGAATTGGAAAAACAATGGAACGGGGTTAAAACGTGTTAAAAGAACGGAGATCTGAAAGGAAGCACTGAAGCATTAGTGTGTAGTGCTCAGGAACAGGCACTGCGCGCTAATAATACCAAGCTCTTAATGAAACAAGCAATACATCTTTATATAGAATGTGTGGTGCTAAACTGGCACAAAAAGGAAAATAAAAGACTACACGACAATGTGGCAAGGTATATTCATTGATTGTTAGCGGAAAAGTGCAAATTTGAAAGAGCCACAAAATGGTATAAGCAGAAGCCAGAAGAGGTTTTAGAATCACGGCCTAAGATTTTACAGTTTA